TGGAAGCTATGAAAATCATGGTTTCTTCAACAATATTTTAAGGCCGGCCGGAAACTCAACGTAATCCAGAATAAAGGGGAAGTACAAATTACTGCCACGGAAAAACGTTCTCGTTATGCACAAAAATGGTATGTTTACGACAACGCTAAATTAATGTATTAATCAAAGACCGCCTGGCAACATACGACCTTATGCAAACCTTTGTTCTTATGACGTTCCTATCGGTGAAGTCAAGCAAAATCCTTTTTCTCATATTGAACCCCATCTTAATCGATTGAAATACGTGAAAAACACCATGAATTTTTGGGAAATCGTTTTGGAATCTATACTTACAATGTAGGCCGTTGGCAAACCACCATGTATGAAATTACAACAATTCTTAATTAATATGTAAACCAAGGCATTACTAAAAATTTAGTTTAGGAGGTCATTATATTTGTGCCGCCGTATTTACTCAGTGTTTTGCATGGATAAACTTCAAGTGCATCAACAACTGTTGTTTACACAATTACAACCATTATGGTGTCCTTTGACGTGGTTTCATTATTCAAATCCACCCCACCGGACCTGGCACGCGACGTCCTACGAAACTGACTCGAAAAAAATACGACGATATGAACAGACTTCTAAAAATCGACCATTTACTGCAATTATTTGCTAAGCTTTTCTTACCTTCAATGGCAGAACATAAGAGCAGATCAAAGGAACACGGATGGGTTTGCCAGTATCCAGCCTGCTTGCGAAACAAGTTTCACAGGAGCTGAAATGGTAGCCTTCGACCGCTACGAACCTGCGTTTTAGCGCCGGTATATAGACGAAATGTTCGTTATATTTGAAGGAGCAGACTAGCCGACTGCAAAATCTGTTTAACGGCATTTTCCCCAACATTCAGTTCTAAAGGGAAGAAGAGAATGCCGAACAGCTGCCTTTCCTTGACGTTCTCTTCACACTCACACACGATGGCGAACTCAGCACCACGGTGTATAGAAAAGCGACTAACACGACTCAGATCCTTAACTAGCATAGTAACCACCCAGTGGCGCATAAACGCAGCTATGTTAGGCCAACCTTCACAGGGGTAAAAGCGCACCGCAGTGAACCAGTGGAACGAGTACGAGAACTACGGCATCCTCGGGACCAACTGACAAGGAATGAATACCCGAACAGCTTCATCAGCCGCTGCCTCCGCACTCACCCACGGCGAACAAACGGAGTAGAGACGCCAACACTCTGGCACCCTCTACCATATATAAAAAATGTGTCCGAAGCAGTCGAACATATAGTTGGGGAGCGCTCTGTGGGTATCGCTCACCGTCCGACAGCGATGGTGCGCAACAAAATCATGCGAGTGAAGGACCGACTAGACGTAGGAGAACAATCGGGTGTCGTTTATCAGATCTCATGTTGGGACTGCCCCCGCCATTACACAGGACAGATGGACGAGGGCTTAGCTCGCCAATAGCGGTGCATAAACGGGCAGTTCGGAGAGGCGATCCGTTGTCTCGGGTTAAGACTCACCCTGGAGGATGGCCACAAACTCGACTTAGCGAGCACGCGACAATATGACAGGGCGAGAACTACTGGAGGACTTGGTGTCTGACACAAACTCCATCAACAGACACGTTGATATTATACCTCCCCCCTGCTATCACGCGCTCCGTTCCCGCGGTCAAGAGGGGAGACCCAATTCCCAACTAGGGGTGCACGCAGTCACGCCGACGCCGTGAAACGGCGTGGACTCAGCCTTATCGCAACACCACCCCTGCATCCTATTCCCTTTTCATTGCTTGACCACAAATACTGCTCATTTGAAGACGCATTTTTACAGTCTCTGATGGTGGCCTCCTGTACGAGAGCGAAGGCTCACACCTACTGTCTCAGAGCTCGTGTGTTCATCTTCTTTACATTTTCGAAGTTTTCGGGATTTTTCGGTTTTCTAGACAACTTCGTATTTCTAAACAACGTAACACAATGTTCTTTCACCCAATCTTTTATTGACATGTACATGCTGTGGTGACGCAGGTTAGTAGTTAAAATGGGACGTATACTGCTTAGCGGATTTACCTGAATTGATTGTTATGATCTGGGGCCAAGGTGCTTGCACGCTGTAAAAATCTGGAAGGTCTCTTCCAATCTGTGCAAATAAGTAATATAAGAGGCGGGGGCGGCATCCTGTGTGTATCACGGCGGGACCCGTGGATGTAACGCACTCAAACGCTCCATGACGTAGGATTTCACGCTGGCCTGAATGCTCCTTTCTGTTTACAACGCCTTAAACTCATCGGAGTCTAGCAGAACCCCACCCGTTATTCCTCGTTGGACAGGAAGGATTACAGGTCGGCGAATGCTTTGCATGAACAATGCTGATATTGAAAAGGGAATCCACGATACGCTTCCCCAGAGATCTCGGCTGTCGCCCATGCATGAAAATCAACGGGACTGAAGCGGATGCATGAGGTTGTGCGCTGGAACTGATGCTTTGCCGCTCAAATGCTTGACTTTGCCAAAGAACATTCTTTCATTTGATCCTCAAAGCTTACCTTCGTGAGTGTGTAGTGGCCCAATTCCGGGTGCATGTTGCGACAATGAGCCTCTCGCGACCACATACACGTGCGCACCAACTACCCCCTGATTCTCGACCAGTGCCGGCAGTCCAAACTGTCCAATCATCTTCAAGGCCGATTCAGGCACAAACTCGCTGAGGGCGCTAGACGTCTGCCCCACTGTTTCACCCTAGCGAACACAGCTCTCGCGGTGTCAGGCGTACCCTCGTCCGGATGTCAAGCCCAGCCAACCTCCCAAACAAAGTCCTACTTTTTCTCTTCCTGTCGGACGTTGGGCATGATGACCGTAGTGGCTAGGTTCTCAGTAGCCTAAGCCGCCACGATACATACGACTGGCGACAGAATGTGTTTCCCTGTACCACCGTTTGACAACGAAAAAATATATACAACCGTTTGTGACAATACTGGGATTAAGGGTTAGTGTATGGACGCAAATTTTGACAGAAATGTGCATATTAAAGCTAAAAGATCAAGTCGAGTTTTCAGGCAGCGTTATACTGGTAATTGTTTCCTAGGCCCAATGTTCAACGGCTGGAAGAATTCAAAACTAGCGGTGATGTTGATGGTAAATCGACATCGTGACAACATTTGAGATTTGTCAAACGAAGTCTTGCAACTTTTGGTGCTTTATGGACAGTGACTATGTCACAGTGGCGATCACTCCGTCATCAAACATTAAAACCGATTGACAACTCACGATCCATGGTACTTTTGGTATCCGTGACCGTTATGGCGATTTAGGCCATTCTTATTACCCTGAACTCTGGTCGCACAGACATACAGGCAGGTGACAGCCCGACCGTCGCATCCGACGATGTCCACCTTGCACTCCAGAGCAAGCTGAAGCAGGCAGGATGGTCTGCGCGTGATTGTTTTTTAGTGATCGTGGGATTACGCCGCATCTACAAAACTCTCTCCTCCTCCCCCACCTGAGTGCGGTGTCAAGGCAGAATTAAGAAGACCGGAGGAGGGGAGGGTGCAGGCGGATGGCCCGACGGAATCCGCACCTTGGCGCTCCATGCCGCACCCCCTTGAGCAGGATTTTGACCAACAAAAACAACAAAAGAAAGGACGTGGATGACTGAGCGGCCATGCTCACGACCTGTATACCCACCGAGAGGGCAAACGCATCCACCGTCAGAGAACCGGGAACCGGAGAACTACCAGCGCACATCTGGGTCATGACATAGGTGACACTCACAAACCCTGGAGTCCAGACGGATGACACATAGCTCTGCATTTGTCTGGTGCATCACCGTTGAAGACTGGGCAATCACGCAGTCGCCGACTGAGAGGCACAACCCACATAACACACACACACACACACACACACACACACGACAGTTCGACCGTCGATTTCGACGATGTCCACCGTATGCCCTACAGCTGCAGCAGCAGTGTGAGCAGGGACGGTGACTTACGCAGGGGTTTATAGTGCCAGTAGACTTGCGTAGCATCTAACTACAATCTCTCCTCCCCCCCGCCTGGGCCCGGTGTCAAGACAGAGTCAAGAAGATCGGAGACGGGGGAGACCGCAGGTGGATGGCTCGGACGGATCCTCACCTTGGCGTTCCACCACACCCCCTGGTCCACACAACAATAACCAGGATTTCAACCAACACAGCAGAGATTTGGAGGCTGGCACGGCCGAAGCCGCACCTGGGCGTGCCGCCAACGCCTGGCTCGGATCCCACACAGTGGTAGGAGTGCCATAAAGGCCACATTAAAAAGGAGCCATTGCAGCCTGACTCTCAGACCGCCTCCCGTTAAGGAGGGGGTCCAAGGTACCCCGTCAGTTGGCAACCTTCCAAGCCACGGCTTTTAGCGCACCGTGATAGCTTCAGGCGCGTCAGATTGATTATAGTGAGGATAAAGTGCGCTGAGTCGTCGACCTCACTCTCCCTTCCCATTCCCACACCCCAGCCGCTGTTTGAGCCGGTCAGCAGACTGGAGTGGGGAATGGGCGCGGTGGCTGGCACGGTCGACTGACCATGACTGCGCGCGGCACGCCACGACCTGGCCCCCCATACACACAAACACCAGGATTTCACACAACGGGGGCAGAACGGCGTGTCTCCCACTTGCGTGAGAGTGCCGTGGAAGGTGCTGTTGCAGCCCATCCCCAGCCCACCAGTCCGCCACTACACACAACACACACACACACACACACACACACAAAACGTGACGAACTGCGTGAACCGAGAGCAGGCCTCAATCAGCAACCTTCCTATCCACGACGCTTGACGTGTCGGGATAGTCTCGGACACAAGTCACCCGTGCAGCCGAAGCCGCATGGGGACCGAGTCGAGATGCACACTTCCCACTTGCGTGGGAGGCGGCAGTTGAGTGCATGAGGTGTGTGGGGGTTGATGTCTGGTGGGGTGATGGTGTTAGGAGGTAGGGAGTGAGGGAATGCGTGGTGTGACCGGCGGTTGTCTACCGCAGGTCGTCGTGGATGCGCATGTGGCCGAATAGATCCATGCGATGCGTGAAGGTGCGAGGGCAGTGTGGGCAGTGGAGGCGAGTGCGGTGGGTGTAGGTTGGTGCTCCAGGCACTTGGTCGCCAGTCTCTGTGCGATGGATTCGCAAGTGACCGACCAGGCCGATGCGTGAGGTGAAGGTGCGTGGACAATGTGGGCATGAGAGGTTGGCGGTGTCGGTGTCATCTGTAGAGGAAGCAGTGATGTTGGTGGTGGTGGTCGACGCGTGTGACGGTGGAGCGAGGATTGGTCTGGGCGTGGTGGATGTGTTGGATGTCGTGGCTGAATCGGAATTGTGGTCAATTCCGCTCTCGTGGATGCGCATGTGGCCGAATAGACCCATGCGATGAGTGAAGGTGCGAGGGCATTGTGGGCAGTGGAGGCGAGTGCGGTGAGTGTAGGTTGGTGCTCCAGGCACTGGTTCGCCAGTCTCTGTGCGATGGATTCGCAAGTGACCGACCAGGCCGATGCGAGAGGTGAAGGTGCGGTCGCAGTGAGGGCAGGTGTAGTTCTGATCCTCATCAGTGGTATCGGGAGAGGTGGGAGAGGTGATGTTGGTTGGTGTGTTGGTGTTGGTGATGTGTGAGACAGCAGTCTGAACGGCCGCCGCTGGGGCCGCTGGAATTGGTGGTGCAGAAGGAGTGTCAGAGTTAGTTGGCGGAAGGGAGGAGGAAGAGGCGGGCGGGGGGACGATGGCTGGAGCAGTTCGAGAGGTGCAGTTGGTTCGGAGATGTCCAACAAGTCCGATTCGTGCCCGGAATGTCCGTTGACATCGAGGACACGTAGGTGGAGGTTGTGCGGTGGCGTTGCGGACTGGGCGAAGTTGTGATTTGCGGGCTTCGCGTTTCGATTTGGCGGCGGCGATTCGGTTGGCTTCGTAGATCGCAGCGCCTGTCTTCACTGTCCTCCTCCAGGTCGGTCGATCGAGTGCGAGCTCCTCCCAGTTGGTGGGGTTGATTTGCAGGCGCTTCAGGGAGGACTTCAGAGTATCCTTGTAGCGGCGAATTTGGCCTCCTCGACGACGAGAACCCGTCGCGACGTCTCCGTAGAAGAGTCGTTTGAGTAGTCGCTTGTCGTCCATGCGCACCAGGTGGCCGCTCCAGCGCAGCTGCATTTGTTTCAGTATGGCGTAGATGCTGGGGATTCCCGTTCGTTCCAGTACTTCCGTGTCGGGGAATTGATCCTGCCAGTTCAGCCTCAGGATGCGACGGAGACAACTGAGGTGGAAGTGGTTTAGTCGACGTGCCTGCCTCGTGTACACCGTCCAGGTCTCCGCTCCGTACAGTAGCGTCGGCAGGATGACGGCCTTATACATCTTCAGCTTCGTGCTTATTTGGAGACCGTGGCGATTCCAAACTGTGCTTCGGAGGCGTCCGAAGGCTTGACTGGCTTTCGAGATCCTGTTGGCGACTTCGTCATCGATCTTGGTGTTGCGGGAGAGGGTACTGCCCAGATACGGGAATTTCTCCACCACTTGCAGTTGATTTCCGTTCACGCTGATTTGCGGCGGCGCGTTGGGGCCTGCGGCTGAGTTGGGCGGTGGTTGGTGCATCACCACCGTCTTCTGCGTGTTGATGACCAGACCGAAGTTCTCGCAGGCGGCGGAGAAAAGGTCCATGCTCCGTTGCATCTCCTCTTCTGAGGTGGTGTTCAGGGCGCAGTCGTCGGCGAAGAGGAGTTCGTGCACGGTGGCTGTGGATACACGCGATTGGAAGTTCATGCGCCGGTGATTCAGGAGATGACCGTCCGTTCTATAGGCGATGCGGATTCCAGGGCGTTCGTCGCGGTAGGCGTCCATCAGCATGGCAGAGAACATGAGACTGAAGAGGGTAGGCGCCAGCACACAGCCCTGCTTCACTCCGTTGGTCACTGCGAATGCCTCTGAGACAGCTCCGTTTTCCGTGACTCGCGCCATCATGCCGTCGTGCAGCTGACGCACCATCTGAGTGAATCGCTCCGGACAGCCGAATTTCTGCATGATCTTCCACAGTCCTTCACGATTCACCGTGTCGAAGGCTTTCGTCAGGTCCACGAAGGTAGAGTACAGGTGTGTCCGCATCTCCTGGCACTTCTCCTGAAGTTGGCGGGCGGCGAAGATCATATTCGTGGTTCCACGATGACGACGGAAGCCGCATTGGCTTTCCGGCAGAAGGCCCTGTTCCAGATGGTTGTTGAGGCGGTTGAGCAGGATGCGAGCGAAGATCTTCCCGGCGATGTTCAGTAGGGAGATGCCGCGGTGGTTGTCACAGACTTGGCGATTCCCTTTGCGCTTGTATAGGTGCACGATAGTTGCGTCCTTGAAATCTTGCGGGACTTCACCTTGACGCCACATCTCCTGGAAGAGCGCAGTCAGGTGATCCATCAGTAGGGGACCTCCGTGCTTGTAGACCTCAGCAGGGATTGCGTCCGATCCGGGTGCTTTCCCGCTGGAGAGTTGCTGCACGGCCCTGATGGTTTCCTGGAGATATGGCGGGAGGCCGAGGTCCGCGTTGGTCTCCACTGGCGGCAAGCGGGCAATGGCGGCGTCGGAGATGACGGAAGGGCGGTTGAGGACGCCTCGGAAGTGCTCGGCCCATCGCTGTAGGATTTGCGTCTTCTCAGTCAGGAGAGTGCTGCCGTCGGCGCTGAGGAGAGGAGCAGTGCCCTTCGTCGGCGGACCGTAGACAGCTTTGAGCGCGGAGAAGAAGTTCTTCCATTCGTTGCGGTCCGCATAGCCTTGGATCTCCTCAGCTTTGCGAGCAGTCCAGGCGTCCTGCATCTCGCGCAGTCGTTGCTGAAGCTGTCGGCGACTGCGGTAGAAGGCAGCTTTGTTGTCCTCAGTGGGGTGATCTACGTAGGCTTTGTGGAGGCGGTTCTTCTCAGCAAGCAGATTTCTGATGGCGGCGTCGTTGTCGTCGAACCAGTCCTGGTGTTGGCGGGGAGCGCGACCGAGGACGGCGAGCGCCGTCGACTGGACCGTGTCTCGCAGTTGACACCAGCGGTTCTCCACGGAGGCATTCTCGGCAGCGGCGGCGGCAGCGATAGGAAGGTTGTCTAGCCGTTGAGCTAGCTCATTGCTGAAATGGAGACGGTGAGCAGGCAAAGACAACAAAGCAACATTCAGCTTACCTGGGGGTCGCTTACCTTGTGGTCTCCTGCGAGGCTGTAGGCGAATACGCATATCCGAGATGACGAGGCGATGGTCGGTCCACCCGTCAGCACCCGCGATCGCCTTCGTCACCAGCACGTCCCGCTGATCTCGCCTCCGAAAGAGGACATAGTCCAGTAGGTGCCACTGACGCGACCGAGGATGCCTCCAGGTGGCCTTCTCTCGCTCCGGCAGACAGAAGAACGTGTTCTTCAGGATGAGGCGGTGTTCTGCGCAGGTGCGGAGGAGCAGCAGGCCGTTGTCGTTGGAGCCGCGGAGACCGTGAGGACCCAGCAATCCCCTCCAGGCAGTATGGTCTGTGCCGACGCGAGCGTTGAAGTCGCCAAGGACAATCAACTTGTCCGCCTTCGACACAGTCGCCAAGAGGGCGTGCAGGTCCTCGTAGAACTTGTCTCTTGCGGCGGCGTCGGGACTGCTCATCGGCGGAGCGTAGGCGCTGATGATGGTGGCGAATTTGCCCCCACCCCGCAGAGGCAAACGGAGGCTCATCAGGCGATCGTTGATACCCTGCGGCAAACAGGGTAGTCGTCCCACGATGTCGTTCCGGATGGCGAAGGCGACACCCGCGTCTCGTCGCTCTGCCTTGGGTCGACCACTCCAGAAGAAGGTGTAGCCGGCACCCACCTCCTCCAGTTGGCCTTGTTCGGAGAATCGGGTCTCGCTGAGTGCGGCGATGTCCACCTTGTAGCGCGCCAGTTCTCGTGCCACTAGCGCCGTCCTCCGTTCCGGTCGGTTGCTCCTCGGATTGTCTAAAAGGGAACGAACATTCCAGGCTGACAGAGTGAGCGGGCTCACCCTGCCAGTCTGGCGACTGCGGCGACGAAAAGTAGGAGTAGGAGAAGAAGAAGAATAGGCTGGAAGAGGAAGAGAGTGATTGTTGTTGTTGTTGTTTCGGTTTTGGCTGTTTCGACCGTGTGTTTTTTGTCTGCGGCCACGGCCAGCCTACAGACAGCGTGGTTCCCAGCGATCTTTAGGACACCTTTTCTAGCCCCCTCCCCTCGCGGGGCAGGCAACGCATCCCTGAACAGGGCTGCCCGGTTATCCCAGACGGCTGCCGGACTCCATTATGGGCCACGACTTTTTGTTAGTGAGAGAACGACCCGAATTAGCCTGGGACCTTGGTGGTGAGGTGATGATGTGATGGAGTGAAGTAGGAGAGAGCATACACACTACCTAACGCTATGGGACTTAGAACTAGAGTGGACAAGCGGACACAGTCACCAGTCAGAGACAAAGTGAGGGCACCACACAAAGTCAGGCACCGTAAAACCTAGCTAATAGTAGAGAGTGGCATAGACTGACGGACAGACAATCGCAGCAGGCATCGTGGGTGTCGTTTAGCTCTTAAGACAGACTAGCATATAAAGGGCAGGCAGCAAGCGCAGCGTACGACGCGGAACTTCAACAAACAAAATGAAGAAACAAAGCAAGCGCACTTACCTGAGGGGAAACTTACCTGGTGGCCGCCTACGATGGTCCAGACAGAGCCTCGTCTCGACGATGTCGACGCGAAGATCCATCCGGCCAGCGCAGACCACAATACCGCGCGTGAAGGTGCACGCACGGATACCCTCACCTGGTTTAGCCCGCCGGTCGAGACGGTTGCCCGGGGTGTGGCCGCTGAGCAGAGCCCAGCTACGTGGAGCCACAGGTGAGAGTTAGGTGCCAGCAAATGGACGCTAGGCGTAGTCTCACCTGCAAGCAAGTGAGCGACCACTACGACCATCACGTGGACCCACCGCTGACACCCCTACACCCCACGCACACACACACACACACACACACACACAGCATTTTGACAGTCGTGTCCGACGATGCCAACTTTAAGTTCCACAACAAGGTGAGAGCAGGCGCAGTAACTTGTCAGTAATTTATTTTATAGTGAGTATCCTCTTACACAACATTTACCGCACTCCCTCCTCCTGTCCCACCTTGCCCCGGCGTCAAGACAGCATCAAGAAGACCAGAGGCGAGGGAGGACGAAAATGGATGGCAAGGTTGAGTCCGCAGCTTGGCACTCCATTCCACACCACCTGTTCCACACAGCAAATGACCAGATTTTTAACCAACAACAACAACAACATCAACAACAACAACAACAACAACAACAACAATAGAAGCAGGGCGACAGGGGTCCGATGTGCGCGACGTCAGCTAGCACTTCGGTCTGCCACCACACCTCGAAATGTTGGCATTTGTTCTGATGTGCAATTCCAATAACGCGGCCAGAATCCGATATGCCCCTCGTGTCGGTCAAGCGCATCTAACACGTGGCCCGTTTGGGGGACACCCACATGCGTGAGAATGTCTGCAGGTACGTATATATGCGACAAAAGGTTATAACCTGATGCAACAGAGGTCCCTTTTATGGGATCATTGTCGACTCAGTAAAATAGATATTACATTCTGGTGTGATTTAACATATCCCGTTGAGAAGCAGGATAAACGACTTTCATTGAATCGCACATGTAAGCATATTACACAAATTAAGGTATTATGAACATCCCTATCCGAATGCGATAAAAAAACTGTGATGCTTTCGTGCTTACTAGATCTCCACCACAACGATCGTCAGCACTTTCATAGGTTTTCATTAATATTTTTGTTATTTGCAAAAATCTAATTGTAAGTAATTGCGCCACATTCGGTCGCTGATGGTATACCGCGATATATTGAAGTGCGTAGCACTACTGCAGCTCTCAATTCTTTATGCCACAATACGGAGGTGAAATGAAGGTGGTTAATGAGGTGGGACTGTTTCCTCCCACCACATTCACATGATGTCATAAAATTTAATTGTCAAACCACGTTTTTTATTGTCGAGAAGACTGTGCAGTGGACGCAAGTTTGTAATTTCGACTGAACTCACGCCGTGGTTGGGAGCCCAGACAGCTACGAAGCTGAAGGTCACTAACGATCTAACACTGCAAAAAGGCTGAACATATATTTAGCCTACGCAAGTAAATACTATTTAATGCGGAGGTTGACGCAGTAGGCGGGCACAAGACTCACATAACAGAATAATGTCTGGGGGGGGGGGGGGCATTGGGACCTGTGTGAATAGCACACTCAAGTGTTGCATGGCTCAGGCCAGCACGTCAGTTGGAGAATTCCTAGATCTTTACGGCACTGCATGCTCAGAGGGCAGCAGAAACGTCTCCCGTTATGCCACCAGGTAGCGTTGACTGGTTTGTCAATGTTAAAAGTGCTTTTGAGGTGTGATAGTGACTTAGCAGTTTGAATTTCTGATGCTGTAGCTGAACGTGGAGTAAGCCCGTGGGCTGTCTGCCTGAACAATTAATTTGTCCAGGCAACGTCTGAGCCCTGAATATCAAGCGAGGAGGAGATCGTTGAGCTTGTTAACAGGCCGTGGACCAAAGAAAACTGATCCAGGCAGCTCGCGGTTGCCCCCTCATTTTTACATGTCGTCCGATGAAGTAATCGCTGTCCACAAATACCGTTTTTGAATAACTTTTTTGCTCTACAGTCACCACTAATGGAGATCAGTGGACGTTTTGCTTGAGAAGTCTTTCACCCATCGAGCACCCAGTTTTCTCTAAGTAACTACGTTCCCCCTGATATCGAGCGCGGATTCTTCTCATACAATGACAGTGATTAAAGAAAGCACTGCCGGTGAATTTGAATAGCAGCTAATGCCATTGCTCAGTTTTGCAAATCTCACCCTGCAAACACCATTCTGATGGTCAATTATTAATGGTACAGATTGTTAACTATTAATGGTGAAAAGTTAAATGTTTGCAGTTCTGTGGCAGTCCGCGTTTCCTTGCTGTCTATCTGCCCTTCAGTCCGCCCCACACTCTCAGTTGTTTGCTGTTGGAACAGGGCAAAACTTGCCAATTAGCTTCTCGACTCCTGGAAGCCAATCAACGCTGCCGCTGCTCTGATTGGTTGTCGGACACTGTGATAGAGCGTAAGGCGTACGCTTGCGCTGGGGGCCAATAACCTCAACGCCGGACATAGTAAAAACAACTCGCCGTCAGAGACTGCTTGCGGCAACTGCATTCGCAACCTCTTGTATGCTCTTACACTTCAGTAAAGTGTTCTAACCTAATACGTCTTCCCTGAGTTCTGATTTCGGAATCTTTGCTTTGTCGGTCATTGGGAACTTCCGAGTCAGCCCCCAATGTCAACAGTTCTGTCAATTTTGTCAAATAACCCGAACGACAGAACTGATCGATTTATCGATATAAAGTATACTGCGCCACTGTTAGGAAGATATACATGTTTTTCGATGGAAGCACTCAAAGATTAGCATTATAAGATGTTCTTGAGTCAGCCTGAATGTGCGCAGATTCGGAAATATCAAATAAACGCTGTAAGGTATTTAATTGCGTGAGAACGTGAAACGCCTGTTTTGACAGGAAAGCTGTGGATGCGAGCAGCTGCCGAGGGCTTTGACTGAAGTGTTGACATGTACGAACAGCGGCTATGCGACGGAGTTTTGAACAGTACTCCCATGCCAACCTAAGGATCCATTGTCAGGTTCTGATCATTCGACTAGATTGGGTCTTCCAGAAATCTATTCCGCCTCTGAATGTGTACTGTTAGCCAAACCTGAGAGAAAAGTTAAGGTTCGCAACATGTCCGCACCAAACATTCGCCTGCTTTAGACTTGCATATATTATACTGTCCCAACTTTCCTTAAACAATTGAATGTTGAATCGTGTTCTTCCAACATAATATCGTTTTTAAATGAAATTGTTAACATCTGCTGTCCTCTTGATACTGTAATGGTACGACCGGATAAATTTTCTTCCACCTATCTAAAATTCTTGAGACAAAAAGAACTCCTTTACAAGCTAGGCTTGCCGGACAGCCTTAAGGACATTACCGTCAGGTCAGGTAACCTGTTTGTTAGTCAGCTTTTTACCTCTTCTTTCTCCCCTTCTTTTCCCACTTTCCTCTGCTAAAATTTGGAAAAATTTTATGCATCTAACTGGCCATCGCGACACACTAGTACATGTGAATGCTGATTTAGACCCCTTAAATAAAAATTGTATCTTTAGTCACGACAGCTCCCATCTTCCCTCAGATGACATTCGCCTATCACCATGTGCTTTCCAAACCGTGTCTGCGGAAACAGTAGGGAAACACCTTATAAAGGTCCGTGAATCAACAGCTGCCGGACCGGATGGTGTCAGGCATTTTTTCTTTAATTTTGTTGTTTTCAGATAGCCCCTATTTTAGAGCACCTTATTAGCACGTCTTTCATGTAGTCCACGATTCCCTACGCCTAGCGTACAGTGGAAATCCCTCCCATTCCTAAAAAAATCCCAAAATTTTAATCCTAAATATTTTTGTCCGATTACCTATTCTTCTGCACTACTAAAGCTTGCTGAAATACTTGTGCTAGATATTGCAAAGCCTTTTTCTTCCCGTTTTTCCGACTCTCTACAATTTACATATAAAGCCGAACGCAGTACTTTAGATGCTGTTGCTCTTGTAGTCCACTCCGCTCTAAAAGAATGATACAAGGGTTGCAGCGAGTATGCATGCGCTTTTCGGGACTATTCCTCCGCTTTCAATACCGTCTCGCGTCCTCTTCTCCCTATCAAAACATCCGCGTGTGGTTCTGCAGGCTGGGTCGTCTATTTGCCTAACGATTATTTTACTTCCCGAACTCATTTTGCCCAATCTGGTAAGCGGAAATCTACGGTACTTCGCAACGACTGTGAAGTCCTTCAAGGTTCCATTTTATCCCCTCGCCCCTTCTCCCTACACACTGATGATCTAAGATCCCCAATGTCTCTCTTTTGTTTAAATATGCTGACGATGTGGTTGCTGACCACGCTCTCAGAGATCCGACACATCCACTTTCTGAAGGATGGCCTTGACCATGTCTCAGTATGTTGGCAGGAAAACGGTCTTCTAATGAACAACCAAAAATCATTTCAGTGTATTTTCCGGCTGCGTCCCTCTCCTGGTCCTGAATTATTTGGCATTCTTCCCAACGAGGTAGCCTCTTTCAGGTACCTTGGCCTTACTTTGTCATCACATCTTTTTTTTCATACTTACCGAGTCCCTATTTACTAAAGTAAACTACATTATTACGTTCGCAGTTTTCGCTTCTACCACAAAAAAACTCCAGCCTTTGCCTGGCCATTCATACTGCCTGCATTCTTTCTTTTATTCTTGATTGTTCTCTCGTCATTATTCCGGCTTTTAAGACGAGTCCTCTGAATGCTCTTTTCTGCTGCCAGTGTTTCTTATCCCTTTTTAGTCGATGTTATCTTAGAACGACATTTCAAAATGGCCAAGCAATTTGCTGGTCGAATTCTGGATGACGTTGCCCATCCCCTGCATTCTGATCATTCTGAGCTAAGACCTGAACTGTCCCCAAAATAATAGTTCCTTTTGCATTACACTCGTCTGACTCTGGAATAATGTATTAACTAATTTACTGCCCCAAACTGAATGGAGCCAATTTTCGCTGAAAATTTTGAATTTATGACTTCAAAATAAAGCGAATTCCTCTCTTTCTCTCATTTTAACCGCAGCTCGGCGTGAAATGTCCAATAAAAACGGCAAGAGAATAAGGGAAGAAAGGAATCCGGTATGTGCATCATACGTTGATGTCTGAAGTTATGTTTGAGAGATGGATAAAAAGACAAAGTGTGTGATGGTAGAGAGACGCACATCGACCGTTTCTACAGAGCTTATTCGTCCCGTTGTGCCTTAGGGCTCTCTCTCTGGAGTCCAACCAGCAGCCGCACAGCGGCGCATGATATAGGCAGAATAATGCTACCGACAAAGACAAGGGAGACTGGAATGGTCATCTCTGGCTTATTAACCGTCGTCAGCCGGTCATGCACAACCCCGAGGTGTGGGACACCCGAGGCTTGTACTCACGACATTCTACGTGTGTGCTAAAGCGTCCCATACTAGCACAGAAGAAGTTTAGTCCGCTTAAGTCGGCGGTACGAGCATCAGTTTTCGAATTTGGCCCAATAGTTTCCCACTTCTACCCCGGTTCAAAATAAACTCCCGAACTAAAACCAATTCTGAATCTGCGTGTTCGTAAAGTGACCGTTAATACGGACAGTTGTGCCACAGCTATCGATTAGGCCTGCCACGACAGGGGGGGCAAAATACATTTGGAGACTGTGGCGGGGTTATATCATAGAGACAGTTTCACAGACTCGTGTAAAAGTTAATTATCCAAACGACAATTTTTACCGAGAATACTGCGCTGTGGTGACGCAAGTCAGTCGCTACCTTGAAAACTGTGCTGCCTTTTAGACTAACCTAAGTCAAGGTCGCAAGCTTTTGGGAACTAGGACAATAAAAGTTTGCGCACCGCAGAACATTCGTGCACTCCGCATGATCTAAGCAATTAAATTATATGAGAGGTCGTGATTGGGGTTTCCCGCCGAGGCGGGGATCACATGAGAAGATAACGTCTGCGCGCAATTAGACTAAATATTGTAGGTGGCACGATGTGACTCGTGGGTGTAAAACACTTAAGAGCAACAGGATTTATGATTTCATGCCAGCTGGGAGGTTTCTAGGTACAAGCAGCACCATAACATTTTTCGAGGTTATTAGCAATCCACCAGTTATTGCTTGCAGTACTCAAATATTATATATATAATATATATATATTATATATATATTATATATATTGTATAATATATAATATAATATATATTCGGTATCAACGTTGAAAATGTGACTTCGTCGACACAATGGAAGATGCGAGTTCCAGGAACTGGTTTATAAGAAGTAGAACAGGCCGTTGAAACAAGAGATCTATTCGCTTGACGTTTCGGATTCACGCTCGAACTCGTCCAGCAAGCAGTAAGCGCACAAGCGGGCAACAATCCTCGATGGAGGGGGGAGCGACGAACTAGCATAGGTATGCAGTAGCATAGCGACTGCATCCTATAAACACCACAACCTCCTGTACACGAATCACTCGCATCTGTTACTGGGTTTGATGAGGGGTCCGGGCGTGAATCTGAAACGTCAGGCAACTAAACCTCTTGTTCCAGCGGTCACTTGTACTTCTTATGAATGAGATCTTATCAGTGAGGTACATGAGTGTCTGGGCTGTAAAGGCTCTTTTAAGGAAATCATCATGCATTCACCTTGCAAAACAATATTCCCCAACTATCGCACATCCGGCCGTTCACAGCCGATATCCCTATACGGCTGTTAGACAGCCAAAAGCGCAGAACCGTTTGTGGCAGTATTGTGAGTAATGGTAGGTTTACTAAGGTAAATTGGGACGAAGTCGCACTCACCAAAAATTAACATGGCGAAACGAGCTGTCATAAATAATTAAACAAAGTACACTGTACCATCCTATTTTATCGTTAGGAGATACCATACGAACAGCACAGGTACTAGATAAAAGTCCGGACGTGTGTGGCTCACCGATATTCTACCGCTGCATGACACAGCTGTGGGGAATTCGGCTCATAAGTGGGTCCCCTTGCATTCCCCGTGTGCTTTCTGGTAGATGTTGCAATTTGGAAATGCTTGTTTTTCAATTTCCTCAGAAATGAACCGCTTACTTGAAGTAGGTCAGTTTATACTAAGGTCTATAGGCGCAGACTGAAATTTGATGTATGAATATTTGGGCCAAATTCCATCACTTACAGTGGGATCACCGCGTAATATGCATTAACAGCCGATAGGCAACTAGTAGTATGGTGACGTTGTTCAAGACCTCGCTGCTTTGAGGTCACTCACCCCTTGCAGCGAGCCGTTCTATACGCGCTAACCTGAAGCTACTCAGCCAACTTCATCTCGGACACCATTGGGTCCTCACAGCGTCCAGACTCCCCATGCGCCGCTTAAACGCGCCACCTCCTGCAACCAGCAACACAAGCCACTGGGACACCGTCCCTCAGCAAATGCAACACACACACCGATTGTAGACTACTTGAGCTTGGCCCGCGAGCCTAGAAAAGCGGCTGCTACCGCTGTCCCAGACACTCTCAGGCATGAATGTACGCAGCCAACTCCAGCCCTGGCTTTGTCAGTGCCCATGTCGGAAGTCGTGTGGGTCGACAAGATAAAGATTCCCAATCAAAAGTGAGGAAAGACGGTTTGAGTTGGACAACCTTTACTGCCTGAGGAAGTGCGTACACAAGGGCTCTGTAGGCAGTCGCCGCGAGCGCGCTCCAAGCAAGCTGTTGTCTGTGTCCGCCTTCGAGGCGTTGTTAGCGCGTGTGTGCGCCCTTCGTTGTCTCCACGTCGCCAGCTAATCAGAGTGGGGACAGCGTTGATTGGCTTCGAGCACTCGCGCGGCCCAGCAGCGTATCGACATGGCGTGTGAGGCGGACAGGACGGCAGCATGACAAAGGCGGAGGGTGAGGAGACGTGAACTGTTACACCCACTGCTACCTGAGAGGACAACTCCGGGTTCTGTATGCATTATACCCCTCATTTCTGCCTCCTCCTCCTCCTCCTCCTCCTCCTCCTCCTCCTCCTCCTCCTCCTTCGAACTTGGCATTTGCCTCGATGACTTTAGCGCATAGCGTTCACACTCACACAGTTTAGCCGCTACAAGTCCAAGGTCAGAAGTCAGGTAACTGTGAGAGCAGGTTTATTCTGTACACAGAGCCCGTTTCCGTGAGTGGGCCGCTTGCTTGTGTCAGGGCAAAGCGTCCGATCGGGAGGACGTCAGTCACGGCGTGCCGCTTACAATGGTATGCATGTCCGTACCAGCATGAGCGAATGTCTAGCTGAGTGATGGTCATAGAATGCTTTTTTTGGGATGGGGAAAGAGTCAGGGGTGAGCGATGACAGAAAACGTGGGTAGCAGACCAGATGGTCCGACACGCGTGAGGCGGCGAAAGGGACAAGGGACGTCCCAGCCCAAGCCTGAGAGGGTGGCCTTGCGTCTGCGATCGACCTGTAAGCAAGGGCGGTTGACGCAGCTGTCGACTGACACGGAAGGCGCAGAAAAAAAAAGGGGGGGGGGGCACTGGGACGGCTGCTACGCAGTCACGGCGCGGAACAATCGGGGCCGCCAATTATGTCCACAGTCAAAGAAGGGGGGGCAACAGAGATCACGGTGAAATGCGGCTCGGAGGCAGCCCCACACAGGCGCCATTGGCGGCCTTCGTATAAAACAAAGTGCACCATATATTGGGAGCTGGGCGTAAGAATTTCCAGTCTGTGAAGATGGGTAGACAAAATAACTACCGGAAACGTCAGACCTCCAATAAACCTCTCTCGGTAAACGCCTCCTCTTCTTTTCATTTGCCACCTGGGAGTCGCATTTTCTCTATAATTGATAAACAACAAACTATTCAGAGAGGCGTGTGGGGTGCCTACTCCACGTTATGACGCCGTCAGTTGTAGTTGGGAGATTCGAGTTGAGAAAATTCCTATTGAAGAATTCAAAAGACAATTTGGCGAGCATACGTAAGCTTTCGATAAATTCTCATCAGCCTATGCATTTATATTGCTGTCGAAATGATTAAAAGTAAAATGTGGGCAAGCAGAAGTTAATCTGCAGATGGGATTTAGGGCCGGGCGTGAGAGGTTAAAAACAAAACAGCCGTCAGTGCAAGGGGGAGAAGGGGGTGGTGGGCACTGGGCCGGGTAATTATACGCAGGTGGCTGGCATGGTCTCAGTATGGGGCCTGTATGAAGTTTTTGGTGCGCATAGAATGGTTTTTATTGGCTGATTGCAGCAGCCGCTGCAGTCGCCAACAGACACTGTCCAAGTGATTTTGAATAGTTTGATGGGACCTCGTAGATCACTCGGAATGCCTGTCCGGCATCCGTGTCTATCATATGCGCGAGAATAGAGCTATTGACGCTCTTAATTTGGCGCCTTTCTAACTATGCTGGAAGGTGCTATCTTATTCCTTTGGACAAACGGCGGCTCGTGCTACCAATATATTCTGCCCCACAGGAGTAGGTGAAAGAGTAAATACACATAGAGGTGATCTGGGTTTGCAGTTTGTCCTTGCCCTCTCCGTATAGAGTGGAACTAGCTGGAGAAGAGTACACGGGCGTCAGCTGCTGGAAGGGGACGTGATAGAACTTGAGTTAGGCGTTGTCTTAGAAGTTCGCTTGTCGCGTCCTCTTGAAACGGGACCCTGATGAAAAGCTTCTTCCTTTCTTTCGTCAGCGTCGGGAGCTTTGGTGATCTTTCGGTCGTGTACCTAGCAATGAATCGATCGGGGTTACTGTTCTGGCGAAGGAGATTTTCGACAATCTCAAGTTCTTCCTCAATCATATCAGAAAAGCCGATGCTCCTTACTCTTTATGTCAAACGAGGGACTAGATTGCACTTAATGTTTAATGGTAGGAAACTCCAAAAAATGATGCATTGCCCGGACCACGTCTTACGCTAGACGCTACGTCAAATGCTACCGTCAGGCTGTCAGCCGTTTTCAAAGGTTGTGCAGAAATTTCCTTATGTCGCGCTGTTTAAATTCTTACGGAAACGAGAGCCGGTCCTGTAGCTTACCCTTAATCACCACTTGTTTATCTCCAAAGAAGAAATCGCTACTAGCATGGCCAGCATCGCAAAAACCAAAACTTTCGGCCGATTATGGTCAGGTCGAATTGAAATGGTCAGCCATAATTGAACCGTCAATCTTCAGCCATAGAAAGAAGGTTAATGCAATTCCGACGGCGCCACTGAGACGGTTTGCCCCGCAAACTTTACAAGGTATTTTGAATCGAACGCTTTAATCCTTAATTTACAGAAGAAGTGACAACTCTTGAAATATCGAGATTGGTATTTGAGCTGGTGGAACGGCATACATTGTGTGTGGTTAAATGTGCGTTCAGAATTGACTGGAATGCCAAAAAAGTCCTTTTCTAAAGTAGATGTTATTTTAGGTCGGTTTTATTAAGGGTAAGAGGCCAAGATTAGGCAAAATTTGGCGGCTCCGGATATCCACGTAATTTCCTATTTTAGTAATTATCCTCTATTTAAATGTCTTATTTGTACGTGTTGTGTTATAAAGCAAGTTTTTATATAACTAAGAAAATGTTAAAAAAAGCCACTCTAGAACTGGAAATTGTGACTTTGGGTCATAGAAATCGGTTTGAGACAAATATGTAAAAACGCATCATTTTCATGAATCAAGAAGCAATTTGCTCTTTACAAATTATATTTCGCAGAACTGTAACTGCTAATAAATGGTTGTCTAACGATACGTAATAAGCCAAAAATGGCAATTCCAGTCTTCCTTGTCTTTGTCAGTAATAAAATATTGCCTATATCATGCGCCGCTGTACGGATGCTGGTTGGGCGGAACGGAGGAGTTCTGTAAGAGCGTTCGTTGAGCGCCGCCTACCATTGTAAATTCCCGATCGAAAACCGACATGGCTACAGGTTCCCGGGCAAGTGGTTAGAGGCGTGCACTTCTAACTAGCAGGTTGCGAAATCGAGCCTCGCGTGTTCCACACTTCGAGGTTGAGTATGAGTGGCTGACGACGGCTAATAAGCCAGAAATGACCATTCTACTCTCGCTTGTCTTTACCGGTAATAACAAACTGCAAAGTGTTCTATCGTTAATCGCAGTAATAAGCATATTCGACAGCATTTGGTTAACTACAATGGGAACTAGTAGGCAAAAATACGCATATATAGATTGCGCGTTACATGCAGCCACTTTTCTTTCTCACAACGTGCAGAAAAGATTTCGAAACAGTTCCTATCAGAAGTTGACTTTGAGCGGATACGAATATTGGCAGCCGAAGGGCTGCCGCTTGAGTCGTTAGCTGGTATTTTTACTAGTAGTCAGGCCAATTTCTGGGGAATTATTAAAAATAAAACATCGTCTATAGTTAAGCAAGGTGCACCAAAACGGTCCAGAAGCAAGAAAGATGACGAATTCATTCGTCGGACACCTAAAAATTATCAATAAAGGTCCCCTCACACCATCTACAGGGAACACCCGTTAATGTTTTTTCTGTGCATAATTAGAAAAAGAATGAAAAAATTCGGCCTTCATCAGCAAAACGCCATGACAAAGTCATTCATAGGTAGGAAACCTATCAGAGGGTTTTTTGTTCATCGAAAATCTACTGAGGACAGAATTTCATTTTCGAAATGCATTTACTGTGATAGGGAAAGCTCTTACGGAACTCACTCGTTTCGCTGTGACTTATTGGGCTCTCTCTCGTGCCCAACCAGCAGCCGCACAGCGGTGCACTATATAGGCAGACAGTTATTATCGACAAAGACAATGGAGAATGCAATGGAAGTTTCCGGCTTAATAGCCGTTGTCATCCGGTCACACCCAACCCCAATTGTGGAACACCCGGGGCTCGAACTCGCGACCGATTATGTAGAAGTCAAACGCCTCTAACATCTGGTACATGGGTTCGTTGCCTCTACCATTGCAAATTCCCGAACAAGACCGACAAATCAACGAGTCCGTGGCTCGGTGGTTAGAGGCGTTGGACTTCTTACAGGCCACGAGTTCGAGCCCCAAGTGTCCCACACTTCGTGGCTGGGTATGACCGGTTGACGACAACTAATAAGTCAGAAATAGCCATTCCAGTCCCCCTTGTCTTTGCAGCAAAGCATTTACTTTCCTGATGAGGTCTTATTTTAGAAATACTCCGATGTCGGCCCAGGTGGTCATATGCTGAGAGAACTTCCCACAAGATTACACTATCTCAACACCAACTTTCAAGAACTGTCTATGCCTGATGGTTTAGATGGCCATCACATTTGGAGAGCGACCGGTCCGGCGCTCAACAAAGGAAACGGTAAGTAGCAAGGTGTTCATCGACATAGTAAAGGCTGCCTTCGGTTACAGCGATGTATATCGACGCTCAATGGATGCATAATGTTGCAGAATAATGCACTATCCACCGTTAAAAGGAGATATAATTCCAATTCAACTTATGACTATAATCTAATATTTTAGATTACAGTCAGAATCTCCGCCTGCGGCCTTCAAAGCAATTTTATTCCCGCCAACAACCCAGACCTAAATCCCATTGAACATCTTTTGCATCAATCAGAAGAAATGGGGACAGGACAAGAAAACATCCTTCGATAGAGAATAGATTTGAATTTTGCTTAGTACTAATATAGACCAAACCAACTTGGGCAACTTAGTAGTCTCCATACCCTGTCGCCTTACAGACACTTCACATCCAAAGGACAATCGACAAAGTACTAATATGTTGTAGTTGTTACTGTTTTCCATCATTTTGCCGTTTTCTGTTATTTCCCTTCTTTGCTGACGGTTATACAAGGCCGTGAATATTTGACCCGTCACAGAGTTCATTTTTCGATTTGCTGGTTTTTCCTAAAATAAATTAAATCTCAGCCACCAAAAAGAAATTTTATGAGCCAGACTGTGCCTTATTTTGATACTCAGTGGTATCTTTAACGCAGTAAAATTTTCGTGGATGCGGAGTGGGCGTATCGTGCGCTACAGTGATCTTCGTTAACAGTTCGTGACCCTCCATGAGCTGGGTCACCAACTGCATTCAGCGCTGATGCACTTGGCCAGCTTCTTTAAC